GTATTTTTACAGTCTTTATTTTATAGTTAAAATAAATGTTCATCAAATAAAGTCTAATGTTACAACTAATCGTGGATCCCTGTAATTTCTTTCAGGTGAAAAACATTACTGAAAATCCCCCCTGCAGCTGTCCCGCCAAGTTTCCTGTTGAGAAGCAACCCAAAAGCTGCTACCGTGTCGGAGATAAAGTTCTCTACATTCGGGTAAGAATCCATCTGCTGGGATTATCTTACAAAGATTTATCACATTATATCTGTAAAACTATACACCCCATGTCGAGCCCCAGCTTTGTCTCAAAACCCTGACCTACTCTCATGACATATTGAATTACTTACTTTTATAAAACTTAAAATTAAAGCATTAAAACCAGGTGTACCTGGTGAATTTCATTATTAATCAACCGTAGTGTTTCCTACAACAAAGCCTGATCCCGCAGCTCATGATAACAAGTTCCTATTCACCTTTTAAGTCAGCAACAAGTCCAGTGTGTCACAGTGACGGATTCGTCATCGCGCCGTGCCTTTCAGCCTCCTTCGGTTGCGCGCTGCTCGTAATGCGTTCGTGTGGAGGCTCGAAGAATGGGAGGATGGGTTGCCAGGCAACCGCTGGTCAGGATAAGACCGGGGCTGACAATGATTGTATTCAGAACATAGACCTTCAGGAAAGAGTACAAACCTGGCGGAGAAAACAAACACGTCTCTCCGTGGGTGCTTGTGCACAGACGTGACCCTGGTGTGCGGTTTAAGTGGCAGCCCACTGGGGAGTTAAAGTCCATGTCTGTGTGGGGAAGGTTTCCAAATGTGAAACAAGGTCTTTTACTCTGTTTTATACACACATCTACACAAACACAAAATAGWTCGGCTCTAGCTGAAATTTGTTTAAAGACAGTTTACTGTAGAAATGCATAAAAATAAAAATTTACTTTCAAATAGGATTTCATGAACAACTCCACTGAAATCTAGCTCTTATATCTGAATTTAACTTAAGTTATGGCCATTTTTGTTGTAGATGTAACATAGATGGACTGGGACGTGGCTTTCAAAACCCAAAACACGTTACRACAAAAATGGTTCACCCCAAAGATCCAGTTCCCCGGTACAAACAGAGTAATGTTGTGTATGCTTTTAAGTGTCAGGAGGACTGTGATCAGTTATACATGTGGGAAACAAAGCAGCCACTGTTCAAAAGAATGAGCCAACACAGAAGACCTGCATCATCAGGCCAGGACTCTGCAGTTTACACTCATCTACAGGCCAGGAATCTGCAGTTTACACTCATCTACAGGCCAGGACACTACAGTTTACACTCATCTACAGGCCAGGACTCTGCACTTTACACTCATCTACAGGTCAGGATGCTGCAGTTTACACTCATCTACAGGTCAGAACTCTGCAGTTTACACTCATCTACAGGCCAGTGGTCACTCTTTCAGGGATGAAGATGTTCTCATCCTTGATAGAGAGGGATGTTGGTTTGAGAGAGAAATAAAGGAAGCCATTTTTGTGAAGAAAAACCATCCACCATTAAACAGAGGTGGGAGGCCTTCGTGTCCAGTTGTCCTCCTCCTACGATGCTGTCATTTCAAGTATGACTCCACCTCCTGTGAGCAAAAGGTGTGAATCAGGCCCTCAACGATAGTCAGGTGATGGGGCACATGATCCTCTATGAACAATAGAGCCAATTAAGGCATTAACGACCTATTGTTTGGCTGATGGCCCTCTTTGCATGTGACTAACCTGTTTGTCCACCATGTGGAGGCAGTGCTTAAGGCTGAGTTCACCTGAAACTCAGACTGAAGAAGTCTCTTGGAAGAGAGACAAAATGTTTCGTTAAAGAAGAACGCATCCAGAGGACCTACTTATTTTTTGATTTTTGATTTTTCTACCTGGATTACTGAGAGGCATCAGGACATGGAGGTAAAATAACGTGTTAAAGGATCTTTCAGTTGGGGTCTATATAAAGTGGAACTGCAATACTTTGGTCTGAGTTCCTCCTTATTGTAACTCCACAAGCCCCTCCTCTTTCAGCGCTTTTCTGAGGTGTGTCTTAGATCAACTCATTTTGAGACTGTCTCTTTAAATACAAATGAGGAGCTTCACACCCCGCCCCCCTCCAGGTTTCGGATCGGTTCATTCTAGTTTGATAGAGGGGTTTACGGCTATATAGCTGCGCAGAAACTTTTTATTTTCAATTTATTAAAAGATGTCAACAAGGGAAGACTTTTTCATCCAGCCTTACATGTTGGAGCCAGAGTCTGACCCAGAGCCAGAGGAGAATGAAGACGATGGAAAAATGTAGTTGGTAAGTCCAGACCTTACTTAGAAGTTCTGTCCCAAACACCATGACGTAATAATTCAGAAAACATTATGGAGTACAGCGAAAACTGAGCAGTGTGATAAAGATGTAAAAAACAAACACATGAGTCAACAATTCAAACAAATCAGCTTCTCTGTCTGATGTTTCTTCATGTTCCTATTAGACAATAATATCCTTAAAGGACCAGAACACCTGTTATTTTCTCAGCAGACCTCCTTGTGACAAAATCACCAAAACAGTAATCATAACCACAGCATGTACAGAGATTTAAATACTAACAGCTGACAAAACAAGACTTTTTAAAATTCTTTTTGTTCACCTGTCTTGCTCAGCAGCCTCGCAGATGAAGTGTCTCAGTGCAGCCGGCTGTCAGTTTGTAGACTTCTTTCTGTTTTCTCCTGATCTTTGAAAGGCGAGCACACCTCAGCTGTTTGAATGGAGCGAAGAGGGCCATCGATCCTCATGTCATCCATTACCTTGGAGCCCGCAGATGTCTACATGTATGCGAGGAAACATGCCATAAACCTCGATTATCATATGTGGAGATAACCCCCTGAGAGCGCTGGGTGTGTACAGACCTTTTCAAAGAGCAGATACTATTGATTACTGAGACAAAGTCATTAGCAAGGGGTTTAATCAGACAGCTTGTTAATGAGCGGCTGAGCATGACCGCCCCTCCTCACATGTAAACTTTACACTCAATCCCCCCCCACACCCCATGCTTTCTACCTCCACCCAACCCCCTTCTATTCCCTCTGGAGGCTATTCAATCACCCAGGCCATGGAGTGCTTCACCATTCTTTGGTGCTGAAAAAGAGGAAGGCTTTCTTTTTATTCTGAAACCAATTAGGTTCTCCTTCAGCTTTGTAGCAAGGATACAGTCTGATGGTGCCCACAAAGAAAAAAAAAAGACTCCATTCAAACACTCCAAATATCATGCAAACTAATTTATCTTTTCATACATTAAAATCCTATTCTGAAGGTAGTAAACCATCAAAACATCCTGTTTTCTCTGCTTTCAGCTGAGCATTTTAACATCAGATCCCTTCCTCTTTGTTCCTCGAGTATTCTTAAACAAGACATTAACTAAATAAGCTTTTYTGTTGTGTGATCTCTGGCTTTGCAGTGAAGGAGATTAAAAAGCAAATATCAAAAAGTCTTTAATGATAAAGCTCAGTGATAGCATATTAAATATGAAGGTGCTAATGAACTTAAACATGTATGTGTGTGATAGAGGGGTCCCTTTAAGTTGGCCACTTTAAATATTTTGGGGCATTCCAAAACTACAGTATTTTGTCCAAGTGTGCAGTGGAGACCACACAATAATGCRCACAACAACAAGCCGTTACTCTAAAAACTGGCACGGCTCRCTGGCCATAATTTTGAGTAACCAGCTTCTCCGACAAAATCATCCAAAAAAAGGATGAAAAGATTGTTATACCTCCCCCAAACCTGGGATACTGGCTCATCCAAAAGACAGGTTTGTGGTAGGTTTAGACAGTGTTGTATAAAGTACCTCTAAGTGATGAGTAAAAGTACAAGTATCTTACCAAAAAATTACTTTGGTAAAAGTTGATGTCTGCTTTAAGAATATTACTTGAGTAAAAGTATTAAAGTATCTGATTTTTTTGTACTTAAGTATTAAAAGTAAAAGTATTGATTTAAAATGAGCTGCTAGATTTTCTGTAATGACATTTATTAGGATGTGACCTCCCTAAAAAATTCAGAAATGACTATATCGTATTAAATAATAAATTGATGTTAAATTTTTTAAATTATTAATTAATTATTTCTTTGTTGTAACAATGTTTTTTGGCAATAAATCTTATACCATTTTAAAGCTTTTTAATGTTGCCACATTTGTAAGGAACATGCATTTGTGGGATGAGCAGTAGACCTGAGAATGTGGGTTGAACACGTAGCTTATTTTGCTGATGTTAGTGACTCTTGTTTTGAGCTTCTGGTACCCCTATGCAATGGTGATCGGCATGAGGAGGAGGTTCCTGGCTGTTGTGGCTGTGTATGGTTCTTCCACACGCTACTGAGGCTCCTGTTTGTTAAATGATTAAAAGGTTAAATTGCCAATATATCTTGTTTCTTCAAACTTCAATCATCCAGTTCACCATATACCAAAAAAAATCTGTACTGTTTGATAATGGCGCTCATCTCTCATCTCTACTGTGCATCCCACAAACGCATGTTCCTTACAAATTTGGCGTCATTTAAAAGGGAAATTAACAGGCTTTACAATGTTAAAACATCCATTGCCAAGAAGCATTGTTACAACAAAAATAATGTGCCAAACACAAAATTCCTTATTTTATGTGCTAAGTTGAAAGTCCCTGAAGGTGTGGCCTCAAACTTTTTTTTTTAATTAAAGAAGTTACACAGAAAAAAACGGTTCTGTGAGGCATAATAAAAAACAGAATTACAAGTCTTGATTCTTAGGCTGTTGCTTTACTGTAAAATATGTTTTCTGAGTTTATTTTTAAGCGGCTTGTGCAGCAATGGATGTGGCTGAAGTGTGCCTCCTATTGGCAACTTTTAGTCTCTTCTTTTTTCTCTTTTCCTGAGAATATTCATGTTTATTTCAGCAGGAGAAGACGAGAAGGAATCGATGGAGCAGCCGGGGGGCTCACGGGATTTCAGATGTGGTTTAGGGGCTGCAGACGTAGCACATTTTGCATGGAAATATGAAGGGCAGGGGGCAGTTACAGGGGAACGAAAAAACAGTTGGCTCAACAAAAAAAAAAGCTTCTTTTTTAGTGTTCTGGTGTATACAGCTGAATAGAAAAAGAGAATTATGTCAAGAAAATTAATGTAAGGTATATTTGTTAATATATTTAGTTAAGGACAGTGTGCCAAGTCAGACAATTTGACACCCCAGACACATAATGTAATAATAAAAACCTGGGGAAAAATCCAGAATTCAAACCACTTTCAGAAACAATCACTTCCTCAGTTTTTCAAACGAGGCCTGAATTTTTGTAAATGAAGGCAGGTCAGGTGAATATTCCTTCCATGTGTGACAGGGAAGTGATTTAGTCAGCATGTCAGACCTGACCCCTGTCAACCTGAACATTTTAATCTGCAGGATGACGGCTGAGGCCGGCCTCGTCTGGAGTCTCCTCTGGAGCTGTTGCCTGTGATTCTCTCTTTCTCTCTCTCTCTCTCTCTCTCTCTCTCTCTCTCTCTGCCCATACATGCAATAGATGAGCAGATCTGCTTGTATTAACACAATCTTAATGGTTCTGTAATGAAGGGTTTATTGGCACCAGGGCAGCAGAGGGGGCTGGGTTGGCTGAGGTCTCCTGGGAATACTAATGTGCTTTGGGAGTTCATGGTCTGTGCTGAACTCATCTCATTTTTGCTYCTCTCTCTCTCTCTATTTTTTTTTTCGTTTTCAAGGCTTCACATTGTGGCAGCAGTTGCCATGGTAACAGATTGTTTTCAGTTTTATAATGACAAAYGTGTATAAAAGATACATTCATTCAGAAGCGACTGAAGGCAGAGTTTGAGGCATCTGAAACAACAGCTGAACACTGACCAGTCGCGCAGCAACCTTTAAGAAATTTATGTTTTAAGATTTGTGTCGCAGATTTTTGCGTGTGTGTGTGTGTGTGTGTGTGTGTGTGTGTGTGTGTGTGTGTGTGTGTGTGTGT